TCTGGTCAATCATCATTCATATGTTCTAACCAATCACTATTAACTCACGTGATCTGCCCCCGCTTTAGACGAGCCCCTAATTAAGAATGTCAGCAGAAAAAATTGGATGATCGTTTATTTTCTAGCACTTTCGAAATACGTATCTATCGGAGCATGAAATCACCTAAATTAGCGAGTCATCGATAAATGAACTATTTCTCACACCTTTCAATTCAAAAGGGTCAATTCTGTTTTTTTGTCTTTAAACCTTCAATTTGCTCTTTGTAATCATACTAAAACATATTAAATAAAAATGTCGCATGGCAGAAAAGCATCAATAACTACGAATAATAATTCTCAACCGCCTCCTACGCGTATCTTACGTTCGTCAAGAAAAAGAAAAAATGAAGAAGCGCAAGAACCACCAGTGTTAGTTAACACAACAACTAGAGACAAAGTTGCAGCTAACGAGGCGACGACATCTCAGGAAGTGGCCAACGTAAACGGTAATAAAACCAAAGCAACGGCGACTAATAAACCTAAGGCGCAAAGAGGTGGTCGAAATAAGAAACGTAAAGTTGAAGATACAGATGAATCATTCAATAACGAGCTACAAAAAGAGGAGGAAAATAATGATTTACAAGCTAATGTTCAAGAAGTACAAGAAGCAGTAAATCATACTGATTTAAGAGAAAATAATACAAAAGGAAAAGGAAAAAGTCATGAAGGGAGCACAATAGACTTAGAAATTACTATACAAAAGAAAGAAGATAACACTTCTCAAGAACTTCCAAAATCAAAAGAACATAGAGGCAGGGACAACAAGGCTCCACAAGAGGAGGATAGCTCGGAACAACCGAACATCACACAAATCAATGAAAATAATGTTACTTCTCTTCCTCAAGATACACCGAATCAACAAGAAGATAATAACATAGACGCTGAAAAACCAAATGGAAAAGGTCGTAGAGGCCAAAAGAAGAGGACAAGAAATGACGACGAAACCAACATCGAACAAAATGAGCGTATTCCAACCAATGACGACGACATTATTATTACTAGTTCACATAATACTCGCAATGCAGCAAAAAAACGCAAGAAGAATAATACTGACAACGGCGTAAAATTGGAAAATCCTGCTCTCTTAGAAGAACCACGTACTGATTCGATGGAAATTAAAGAGACTGTTGCTGCTGTGCCAGAGGAACCTAACAACGGCAAAAAAATCGCGACGAATAAAGGAAAATCAATTCAAAAATCCACGCCTGATCCCAAAAACATAAAACAAAAAAAAAAGAAGAAAACACGTGAATTTGAGTATTTAACCACAAATCCAAAATCCGAGCTCACAGGAATCGACATGAAGGTAAGTAAAACACATTTAATCTTAATCAATAGTCAAAATTTTTATAAAAAAGACAATTAATCTCTCATTTTTTTTACTAAACTAATTTAGTTTTTTATGAAAACGATTTTCTGTGAGAAAAGGTATAAAAAATTTACCAAAGAACAAAAAGCACGATTGATCGGTTTGGTACCTTCCGTTGATAAAGTGCCGATTATTAAAAATAATTCAGAGAAAGGCAAAGAAAAAATGGAAATAGACGAACCAATAGAAATTGATGAACAGCTTGAACTTGAATATTTGATGAAATATTCGGATCAAGCGGAAATTCCAAATGCATCCTCATCATTTGATATTACATCTTTTGCTTCATCATCCAAGGATATCGTGACAGTTGATAGTGCTAGTTTACCAGCCGAAAGTGCAGCTGATACTGATGCTTCAGATATCGTGAAAGTTGTTGATCTAACAGCCGAAAATGCGGAGATTGTAACAATTGATGGTGCAGATTTTCCAGCTGAAAGTGCAAATTCAGTATCTTTTAAAATCGAAGATCACGGAAAAGGACTTCCCGCTGTTGCCGCAGAATCTACAACAATTAATAACAATAAGCGTCCAAAGGAAAAGATTCGCCAATATTTTTTCAACGATATGCAATTTTACGGATGTGTGAAGGCGTTCAAGGAAAAATTGAGTTGGAATCATTTTGATCCTAAATGGATCAAGAGAAATCAGGCGAATCAAAAACGTCTCAAAAATATCATGGATGAAGATTGGAAGGTAGCTAATTGACTTGCCTTTCTTCTTTCTTTACTATTGAAAAAAGGGCAATGATTTTTTTTAAAAACAGGTTTATTGATGATGATAATAATAATAATTCCAATATCAATATACAATTTCATAACATTAGGACTTAAAATTCGAAGCGAAGTGGGGTCATAATCTTGTGTCAAAATCGCCACTACTAGCTGGTGATTCTGCTTCTCTTAGTCTCCAAGATCTTTGTAAAGCTGCCATTATACGAGCTGGTGACGAATTGCATTATAAACGCACGTTTAATAAAGCCAATGCAGTGGTTGAAGGCGTGGTAAAGGTAATTAATTACAATTTATATTTTTTCCTATGCTTTATTATAAAAACAACAAAAAAAAATAAAAAAAAAATAATAGGTAATAGACATTAAGCCTGATGGTACAATGTATGTCGTCAATCAATCAAAAACTCCTCAACAATCACCAGCAAAACAACCAGCGAAACGCGGAAGTAAACCCAAAGATACTACCACTGTTCAAACGCCAGTCATTGCCAGTTCATCCTCTACCTTTACCACAAACAACACTACAATTGAAACACCACTATCCATCACTACAATTTCTTCTCTTGAAACCAAAGTTCTTGATGATGATGCTCGCGTCAGCAAACAGCAACGACCAAATGGAAACGCTTACAAAAGTTTTCGACTTGTTCGAGCTGGACGTAACCTTGGCACTATTTTCGCTTTACGCTCTGAATATTACGAAAAAACACACAGATTAATTATATATTGAGGGGGTGTTTGATTCGATATTCAATGCTTGCTTTGACAAAAATAATTTATTTAAATGTTATTATTAAACATGTTATTGTATATATATATATATATTTGATATCGATATCTATATTTTTAAACTCTCAATCTTGAAATAAAGCAATGACTCACAATGACCAAAGGTTTTTTATTCATGTTCGAAACTCCATGTTCGAAACTCCATACTCGTCATACATAAAATAAAACCAAATGGCAAAAAAAGTGAAACTACACGGACTCTTTGCGGTCAACAAACCACGCAATAAAACATCAGTCGAGATCCTAGAAATGATAAACAAAGTATTCAGAGCTCACGCAGCAGCAACACGAATAGAAATGACCAAACGAAAGGTAGTGAAACTGGGACATGGGGGAACTCTGGATCCTATGGCCACAGGTGTGCTGGTGGTGGGTGTAAATGACGGCTGCAAAGAAATAAAAAAGTACACTTTTTGTGATAAGGTTTGATGATCTTATTTTCGGTAATAGAAATCAGGTTTCTATAGTTGGTTTTTTACGCGCAGATAGTGAAATCGGTAGTAAATTAATTGTCGTGATGGTTACATCTATAAAATATAGGTCTATGAAGCTGTTGGTATGTTTGGTATTTCTACGAATACAAATGATTCGGAGGGGAAAATTATCCAACGCGCGCCTACTGAACATATCACGCGCGAAAAATTAGAAGCACTATTACCGAAATTTGTTGGCACAATAAATCAAGTACCACCATTGTATGTGAAAAAAATATTTTTTCCTCTTAGAATATAAATTCAAATTGAAACATATAATATAATAGTGGTTATTTTTTAATTATAATTACAAACATAAAGATTTTCAGCGATTCATATGGACGGTAGACGACTTTACGATTATGCTCGTTCCGGTGACGAATTGCCACGCGATATAGAACCGCGGTCAGTGATTATTCAGTCGATAAATCTTTTGGATTTTACTAGAGAACATAAATACTCGGAACCCACAGGAACATCGTCAGACTATAACGAGGATTTCGAAGACGAAACAAAAACAAGAACAGAAGCAATAGCAGGATCAGAAATTGATAATAACAATAATAATGAGCTTACAACGAAAAAAGGATTCCGACGACAATATGTAAGGCCAAAAAGACGCGCTATTCCCGAAAAGAAACAAGAAGATGATGAAAAGACAATATATCCGATATTCAAAATAAACGTCAAATGTGGCAGCGGAACCTACATACGATCACTGATTCGCGATATTGGCGAAGGAGTGAATAGTGTGGCGCATATGGTTGAACTTGTGAGGTTAGAACAAGGCGAATTTAAATTGGGCGAGGATGTTTTGGAGTTTGAAGATTGTCTAGAGTTTGATAATATTTATGATGCTATTAATAACCATAATCGAAAATTGAGGCAGTTAGAATATAGTCAAAGATATTGAATTTTTACTTGGATGTGTTAGTATTAAAAAAAAAATTCAGATAGATTAAGGATTGGTTATTGGAAACGATCCGGATCTAGCAGATCCAATTACAAGTGAAACTTGATAAAGCAATTTATTGTCTCTTATATCAAGAGATTCTTATATATAGCTTTCTTATCAAGTTCTTCAAAACGTCGTGCTAAGCTAATAAAGTCTACCCACCTCGCACATCTCCATCACCGAGATGAGACTGTATGCATGAAATTGAGATCAACCTAATTATTTTTCGGGTTCCTGATCCGCGGATTCACTTTCCATATAAGTTTCTCTATCTCGCATCTGTGATTTAGAAAATTCTCTTTAGAATTAATTTAACACAAATATTCGACTATAGAATTTTCTATCGATTTGGCGTAATTTTTTTTCCTTCATGTATCGTATGGTTTATTATTGTTTATATATAAGGAGGTAAATATTAAAATGTTTTCTGCAGACTTTCATTCTTTGAAGGTCTATGTCGTCAATTTTTTCCATAATTTAATACAGTACCTTCGTTAAGATTTTCCTGAGTGTGGTGTGTAGATTTATTATTTATATTATAATTCAGTCTGGAGATTATTAAACAATACTAAAATATAATACAATCAATAATACATATTCATAAGTAACGATAATTGAATGAGCCAAGATGTCAACTACTGAAGCCGAACCTCTCTTACGTGATGGAGACTCTGAGTCCTCTTTCGGAATCACTAAAGAACAACTAGCCGACTTAGTTGACCCAAAATCACCAGATCTTTTGCGCGAATACGGCGATGTAGAGCAGATTTTAAAAAAATTACGCGTGAATCCGACAGAAGGTTTGAGTTCTGACGAGGGATTGGGTGAAGGTAGCGGAAAAGGTGGTGCGTTTCGAGACCGGAGAAAGTACTATGGAAAGAATGTATGTGTTTTTAATTGATTTGAAAGATTGAATGATGACTATATATGTGCCGAATGTAAATAAATCATTCCATAATAGATATTACCTGATGTGGCGTCAAAATCGTTATTTTCTTTAATATGGGAAGCATATCAAGATAAAACCTTGAGTAAGTTGGAATCAATTTCACAGATGTTAATAATTTTCATACATGATGAATGATATCAACCAATTCACAAATTCGTTTCCACTTTAAAGTTATGCTTAGTATTGCTTCGTTATTCTCGTTGGCTGTTGGTATAAGTGAAGATTACTCTTCGCGACATCCAGAAGGGGAACCACGTGTCGGCTGGGTTGAAGGTATATATTTTTTCTTGATCACAATTGATTGTAATTGATACACCATATCATTTACACTCTATTTATTTAGGTGTTGCTATTCTTGCTGCCGTTGCTGCTGTTGTCCTGACAAATGCAATTAACGATTATCAAAAGGAAAAACAATTCAAAAAACTTAATGCCAAAAAAGAAGATCGTAGTGTCAAAGTAATAATAAAGTTATATTGATGTATTGGATTGATCAAATAGCATATTTTCATTTGCTTGGTTATTAAATTCCTTTATTTATGTGTTTATAGCTTATTCGTGATGGAAGAGAAAAACAGGTTTCTGTTCATGAGATCAATGTCGGTGATATCTTGGTAAATATCTTTTCTTATTGACTTTTTTTCGTGCTAATATCACTTTTATATTATAATAATTCTTGCTATACATCATTTTCTTTAATATCAACAAAATTCTTGCTATACATCATTTTCTTTAATATCAACAAAAT